GAAAACCGGAGTGACAAAGACGCGGGAGCGCTCGGCCTCGGCGGCGGCGGCGGTGGAGGGTGCGACGTGCTGACCTCCCAGCTACGTGCTGGTTGGTTAAATTCACATCCCTGGGATTGCTTGTGCTGTATTCGCCAGGCCGGCTTTGCCTTTTGAAAAGCTTCTAGTCCCCCGCGCGCGTCTGCGGAGGTGGCGTTGGCCGAGCGCAATGCCCAGGCGACAGTCGGGAACCTCTGCAAGCCTCTTGCACCCTGCCTGGTGCTCAGACCCCCTGCAGCCCCCTTCTCCAAGCAGTTTTCCACTAAATGCGTGGATCCATCCGTCTTGACCACAGAGGTCCGGATGGAGGCGATGCAGCGTTCAACAACGATGACAAAAACGGGGGGTGGAAATCGGCCAGGGGCTTCGGTTACTGGGAGCAAAATTTGACCTGCAATTCCACCCTGTGGCCCAAAGAGCACCTTGGTTATAAGCACGGGGCAGTTTCCACTTTCTAACTGTCGTTTGTAAGATGTAAGAGCCCTTTAAAAAAAAAAAAAAACGTGTGGAGCGTAGTTAGTAGTGACAAGATACACGCGCTGTATTTTTTTCTCGAGCGTGACTGAGCTGGACGTGGGGTGCGTTTCATCAGCGGCTTTGCTCTCGGGCTGGGTGCTAACGTGGGAAATCTCAGCGCAAGAGGCGAACGTTCAGCGAGGCTGCGAATGTCTGAAAAGAGATGGATTAGATCACTTGGGCAGCGTTAGCTCTGGGTTTTGTTCTTCCCGCTGTGCTTAACTTAGCAAGACGTACGAGCGCGGGATTAGTCGTAGGCTCAGGACTTTGCTGGCGCTCCCAGCTCCGGGAGAGGAGAAGCCGTCTGAAGTTCACAGCATCAGTGTGATGAAAATGCTTTTAATTCCCCCGGTCTGTAGAAGCGCTCGGAGGGGTCGTTGCTGACTTCTCTCAAACGCCCTTCTGAAACCCTCCGTGTTGCCACGCGTGGGGCCACCCCTGGTCAGACGCGCCTCAACGCTGCTTTTCGTAGCTTCTCCCCACCCCTAAAGCACGTGTGCGCTGCACAACCCTTTCTCCGTAGGAGCAAAGAAGGTCTGAGCAAAGCCAAAGACATTTTAACCCGCCTGGGGGTGGAGCCGTCGCACGAGGACTGCGTGGCCGTCCAGCACGTCTGCACCATCGTGTCCTTCCGCTCGGCCAGGGCGGCCGCGCGGGGGGCCATCCTCTGCCAGCTGCGGGACAACAAGGGGGTCGGCCGGCTCCGCACCACCGTCGGGGTGGATGGCTCCCTCTACAAGATGCACCCGCAGTAAGTCCCGCTCCGCTCGGGAGACCTCCCAGGGCGGGGAGTCGCTTTGCGCGAAGCGAACCCCTGTGCCCGAGGACCGGGCTTCGAGGAGACCTTCGTTAACACGGCTCGATCGCCGCTTGCAGCTTAAGCTGAGCTGTTTTGAAAGCGACCTGGAGAGCGCAGGTCGAGTTTTGGTGTCAGAAATGGCACAGCCGCCCTGGCCCCTGATCCTGCTGGCCTTGGGGAGCCGCTGCGTGTGCCAGGAGAGGGCACGGGCACGGGCCTTCCCGCGGTCACCAAAAGGGAACTGAAGCGATAGGCAGGATGCCGGTGCGCTCCCTGCACGTAGGGTAAAACCCTTCTCTCCAGTAAATGACAATGAGTCAGTTTTCAGTCTCTCGTGCTTAAGAAAAAAACATAAAATTTTGGCAAACAGACAACTTCCAAGGACGTTAGTGCGGCTAGCTTTTCTAGAGGCACAGGACCTAGGGTGCGGGAGGATGTGGGAGCGTAGCCCAAAGGCACCTCGCTTGCCTCAAAGAGGACCGGCTTTTCCCGAAGCTCGGTGCTCCTTGCCCTCCCGGCGTGTTTTGGTCTGCGCTGGCCGCGTAGGCGCTTGCGGCGGCGGTGGGCTCCGACGCGTCCCCTCCTCGCAGGTACTCCCGGCGCTTGCACAAAACCACCCGGCGCTTGGTGCCTGACTCGGAAGTGCGGTTCCTGCTGTCGGAGAGCGGCAGTGGGAAAGGGGCGGCGATGGTGACGGCGGTGGCTTACCGGCTGTCGGAGCAGCACCGGCTCATCGACGAGACCCTGGCCGAGTTCAAGCTCACTCATGAGCAGCTGCTGCAGGTGAAGAAGAGGATGAGGACGGAGATGGAAGCGGGGCTGAACAAGACGACCCACGAGACCGCCAAAGTGAAGATGCTGCCCACCTTCGTCCGCAGCACGCCAGATGGGACAGGTAGACCCTGGGCAGCTCTTGGCTTTCCAGAGCGGCTGGCCAAGTTTGTCCTTCTCTGAAGGAGCTATTGTGCGGGCCCTCTTTC